GTCAAGTTTGTTTCCTTATTTTTAGCTAAAAGTGGGCTGTAGTTTGTTACAGCACGTTGGTTTTATTTTCTATTTATTGTACTGCAATTCACAAGGAATAAACATTCATTTCCAGAACTTCTATTTTCTCTATTTTGTTCCTGTTACATCTAACATTCTGGTATCAGAGCAGTGACCTAAGAGATGGGTTCAGAAGCAAATTTTGCAGCAGCCTCCATTCCGAAGTTCGACGGCGACTACGATCATTGGAGCATGGTCATGGAGAATCTCCTTCGATCCAAGGAATATTGGGTTGCTGTTGAATCAGGCTACACAGAGCCGGAGAGTAGAGATGGAATGACGGCAGAGCAAATAAAGAACCTGGAGGAGATGAAGCTGAAGGATTTGAAGGCTAAGAATTACTTGTTTCAGTCACTTGACAAGTCAATTCTGAAGACGATCACGCAGAAGGAGACATCTAAAAAGCTCTGGGACTCCATGAAGTTGAAGTGTCGAGGCAATGCTCGAGTGAAAAGAGCTCAGCTCAATCGTCTACGGCGGGACTTTGAGGTCCTAGCAATGAAGCAAGGTGAATCGATCACTGATTTTTTTGGTCGAGTTATGACGGTTGCAAACGACATGAGGAATTATGGAGAAGAGGTGGATGATGTCAAGATCGTTGAGAAGATTTTGAGAACCCTCACTGAGAAATGGAATTATATTGTTTGTTCCATTGAAGAAGCCAAGGACATAGATCAACTATTTGTGGATGCCTTGCAAAGTTCTCTGCTCGTTCATGAGCAAAAATTCAAAGTAAGTGAAGAAGAGGAACATGCTTTGAAGGTAACTCATGAAGAGAGCTATGGTGGAAGAGGGCGAGGAAGAGCTACTTTTCGAGGAGGTCGGGGACAAGGCAGAGGTAGGGGCAGCCAATCGAGGAGTAAGGAAACAGTTGAGTGTTACAAATGTCATAAGCTTGGACACTTCCAGTACGAGTGCCAAGCAAATTATGCTGGTTTGGAGGAATCTGAAGAGATGGTGCTAATGGCGTATGTCGACACGCTTGGAGACGCTCGAGATGTTATGTGGTATATTGATTCTGGGTGCAGCAATCACATGTGTGGTGATTCTTCACTCTTTTGTGAGTTAGAAGAAGGGTTCAACAAGGTGGTTAGATTGGGGAATTATGCAAGCATGAATGTTTCCGGAAAAGGAAGTGTTCGATTGACAATAAAAGGAGTAAACCACCTTGTACAGGATGTCTATTATGTTCCCGGTTTGAAGAATAATCTTCTCAGTGTTGGGCAGCTACAAGAAAGGGGTTTTGGTGTACTAATGCAGTCAAATGAGTGTCGCATTTATCACCGCACAAAGGGTTTGGTATTCCAAACCAACATGGCAGCAAATCGAATGTTTGTGTTGTTTTCGAGCACTAAATCAATCAAAAGTGAAAGCAAAGAAGAGTGTTTCCAAGCAACAACCGACGACACCGAAGATGTGGCTCACCTCTGGCACCGAAGATTTGGTCATCTCAGCTACAAAGGGTTGAAGACTTTGCAAACAAAAAGCATGGTGAGAGGCCTGCCAAGTTTCCCGAAGGGTGAAATTGTATGCACAAATTGCTTGAAAGGGAAACAACATCGATATGTAATCCCAAGGAGAAGTACATGGAGAGCGTCGAAAAAATTGGAGCTGGTTCATGCTGATATTTGCGGCCCAATTTCTCCGTCTTCAGAGGGAAACAAGAGGTATTTCATTTGCTTTATTGATGACTACAGTAGGAAGGCGTGGGTGTATTTTCTCTCTTGCAAGTCAGATGCATTCACTACCTTCAAGTTGTTTAAAGCTCTTGTTGAAAAAGAAACAGAACTGTCCATTAAATGTTTAAGAACAGATCATGGAGGTGAATTCACATCTGACGAGTTCAAGGAATATTGTAAAATGAATGGAATCAAGAGGCAATTAACTGCTGCATATACACCGCAGCAGAACGGAGTCGCCGAGCGGAAAAATAGAACCGTGATGAATATGGTGAGGAGCTTATTGGTTGAGAAAAATGTTCCAAGAAAATTCTGGGCAGAGGCGGTAAACTGGGCACTCTATGTTCTCAATAGATGTCCAACATCATCGATGAAGGAAACGACGCCAGAGGAAGCTTGGTATGGGGTGATACCTTCAGTTACGCACTTGAGAGTCTTTGGTTGTATAGCATATGCTCACGTACCGGATGCTCGGCGAACAAAGCTTGAAGATAAGAGTCGTTGTTATGTCTTTTTTGGTGTAAGTACAGAATCAAAGGCATATCGACTATATGATCCGACCTCTAAGAGGATTATTATCAGCCGTGATGTCGCCTTTAAAGAAGATGGGCAGTGGAACTGGGAGAAGAAATCTGAAGAAGATAACACATTTGATTTGGAATGGGAAGATGACAACGGTGAAGAGGTGGAGGATTCCGACGATGGTAATGAAGAAGAAAACGTAGCTTCTCCGGTGAGGGATGAATCCAGTGATGGCAATGAAGAAGATGAAGCGGATCCTCCGATAACACCCCGAGTTAGAAGAGCACCAGCATATTTGAGTGATTATGTCTCTGGTGAGGGTCTTTCAGATGAAGAGGAAGAGGTACAAACTCACTTAGCCTTGTTTTCTAGTGCTATTCATTCTGATCCAATTTCATTTGACGAAGCAGTAAAGGAGGAGAAATGGAGAACAACCATGGATGCCGAAATGAGATCAATTGAGAAGAATGGAACGTGGGATCTTATTGAGCTGCCTATTGGAGCTAAAAGAATAGGAGTCAAATGGGTGTACAAGACAAAATTGAATGAGCTCGAAGAAGTGGATAAACACAAGGCTCGCTTGGTCACAAAAGGGTATGCTCAAGAATACGGAGTTGATTATGAAGAAGTATATGCTCCCGTAGCTCGCATGGACACGGTTCGAATTATTTTAGCACTTGCAGCACAAAGAAGATGGTGTGTGTTTCAGTTGGACGTGAAATCAGCTTTCCTTCACGGGAAGTTAACGGAGAACGTGTACGTGGAGCAGCCAAGAGGTTATGAAATAAAGAATGAGGAACATAAGGTGTATAAGCTCAACAAAGCTTTGTACGGACTCAAGCAGGCACCACGAGCATGGTTCAGCCGGATTGAATCATATTTCCGAAAGGAAGGTTTTGGGAAGGAGGACAGCGAGCAAACTTTGTTTACGAAAGTCAACAAACAAGGTAAACATTTAATCATTAGCTTGTACGTTGATGATTTAATTTATACCGGAGATGATGAAAATATGATGATTGAATTCAAAGAGTCCATGATGAAGGAATTTGATATGACAGACTTGGGTAAGATGAAGTATTTTCTTGGTATTGAGGTAGTTCAGTTTGATGGTGGTATATTCATCAATCAGGCGAAGTACGTGATGGAAATGTTGAGACGCTTTGGAATGGAGCATAGCAATTCGGTTGAAAATCCAATGGTTCCAGGATTCAAAATCTCCAAAGATGAAAATGGTATTGAGATGGATGGTTCATTCTTCAAGCAGCTGATTGGGAGCATGATGTACTTGACTGCTACCAGACCGGATATAATGTATGCAGTAAGCTTATTAAGCAGGTATATGTCAAGGCCTACAGAACTTCATCATTCGGCAGCCAAGAGAATTCTACATTACTTGCAAGGTACAACAACGTTTGGCATTCTTTACAGAAGGGAAGGAAGTCATGAGTTGATTGGTTTTACTGACAGCGATTATGCCGGATCAGTGGAAGATAGAAGAAGCACCTCGGGCTATGTTTTTATGCTTAGTGGAGCAGCAGTGACTTGGTCTTCTCGAAAACAACCGATCGTCACACTAAGCACAACCGAAGCTGAATTCATTGCAGCTGCAGGAAGTAGTTGTCAAGCAATATGGATGCAAAGGGTGTTAAAGAAGATTGGCTACATGGGCAGCGAGAGCACTGTCATCTTTTGTGACAATAGCTCAACAATTAAGTTGGCGAGAAATCCGGTGATGCACGGCAGGAGCAAGCACATTGATGTGCGCTACCATTTCTTACGAGAGCTAGTGAATAATGGAGTTGTGCAGCTTCAGTTCTGTGGTACAAGACAGCAGATAGCCGACATTTTCACTAAACCGCTCAAATTGGAGCTATTCCAAGAGCTAAGAAGGAGGCTTGGAGTGTGTGAACTGTCACATGTTAACTAGCTGCAAATGCAGTCTAGTTCAAGGGAGGGAATGTTAAGTATTTAGTCAAATAAGTGTCCTAGTTTTTAGGATAGTTTGTTAATTGATTTAGTCAAGTTTGTTTCCTTATTTTTAGCTAGAAGTGGGCTGTAGTTTGTTACAGCACGTTGGTTTTATTCTCTATTTATTGTACTGCAATTCACAAGGAATAAACATTCATTTCCAGAACTTCTATTTTCTCTATTCTATTCCTGTTACATCTAACAAAAAATAGTAATGTATGTTTAATAAAATATAATATATAATTAAAAAAGAAGATTAAAACTATAAATGAATGAATAAATAAATAAATAAAATAAATCTATGCGGATTTAAAAAAATAATTAAAAAATATAAAAAAATCCAGGTCAACTGTGTATTTTATATTTAACCCTTAAACATATAATCAAGGTTTATTTTTATCTAAGTTCTCCCGTGAATATATTACTCTACCAGAATCCTATAATTAAAGTTCTCCGATACACAAGTGTAGGGATGAATAACTCTTCAATTTTGAAATAGTTAATTGGTAGATAAAAATAATATTTTAAGAAATGTAGGAGTGGGAATAATAATAGGGGTGTAGAGTAAAATTTCTTAATTTTAAATTGATTATAAGTTGAGAAAGTAGCCTTTGGAAATATCAAAGAAGATTACGTATTTTAGTCTTTTAGAAAGTGAGTGGCCGAGAATTTAGGTGTTTCATAAGACTTGTGTGGAAAATTTCCAAGTCAACTGACGTATCGATTGGCTTCAAAGAATGCATTTATGGAGTATATTGCAATTTAACAATTATGAAACAAATTGTGAAACATAATTCAATGGCTTTAGTTGATGCAGTACTACATCATAGGTTTCTTTTGTTGTCTCATTTAACTCTGCTACTGCTACCTATCTTAACTAGCAAAGGAAGTGGACACAGTGATGATTGTCCAGACCCATTTGATTGTGGCTATCTTGGGTTTATTCTCTACCCTTTTACCAAGGTCGGATTCCCAAACTGTGGTGCATTGGCAATTCAAGGTTGTGATGATCCTAACAAAACTGCAATGAAGACCGTCAAATTAACCCAAGGAGGGAAACCTTTTCAAGTTACAAACATTGTTAATTGCTTGTCTAAGGGAAACTCTATTTCCATTATTGACCAGAACTTCACCAACCTTTTGATGAAAAGTTCTTGTGAAGTCTTCACCAATGTTAATATTACCCTCCCTCCTTCCTCTCCTTTTGGAACTTTTTATTTGAAAGACAATATAACTGCTTTCAAATGCAAACGTACCCAAAAATTAGTCACCAACCCTCCAAACAATTTCTTCAAAAATAGTTCTTGTCCCAACTATGATTTTTATTTTGGTGATTCAATATCCGATGGTGAGTCTAATCGCTCTTTCACGTCGTGCTCGTTGTTTCATCTTCCTGTCATTCAATTAGGCTTTGCACTTTCTGGTAACCCATATCCGTTATTAGCTCATGAAATTACCTATCAATTTCAACCTTCTGATGACTGTGAACGGTGTTACCGTGATACAAATGGTCATTGTCGTGCTCACAACAACGGACAAATTTATTGCCCAGGGTAATGCGTTAACGAAACTTCGAGAAACAGTTAAGATGTTTTTTGTATCATAAGAAATTTGCTAACTACTTTTCCTATGTGAATAATTATGCAGGAAGGGTAGAAGTTCAACTTGGAAGCTACAATTGATTATAGGTGATGTACATATTTTAATGTTCAGTATAACTTGTTTGTTCTTCCAAACATAACTGTCTGTGTGCATTTGTGCATATATTTATGCTTTCCTACCGTCTTTAACAGTTCATTATGATTGAAAACAGAATGAAACAATTATTTTAATTTTTCTTTTTTTATTTAGTTTTATTTTTTAATTTTGAAGTTTAACAAAAACAGGATAATTGTTGTTGTTTACATATATTGAGGTCATTATTTTCTTACATTAAAGATTTTCATTTTATTTTAAATATTTTATGATTTTCCAGCTGTCGTGGTCGTGGTAACTATTGGAGTTGGAGGGCTTATGTTATTGGCATATTGCATTAGGAAAAAGATCACCCCTCCAGCATTTCTTTTATTCAGGGAGAAGAGTTCAACCAATCAAATTATTGAAGATTTTTTGAAAGAACATGGACACCTTCCGGCAGCAAGGTATAGTTATTCAGATGTCAAGAAAATAACAAACTCTTTTAGAAACAAATTAGGCCAAGGAGGGTTTGGAAGTGTATACAAAGGGAAGTTACATGATGAATGTGTTGTTGCAGTGAAGGTTTTAAGTGAATCAAAAGGTGATGGTGAAGATTTTATTAATGAAGTTGCAAGTATCAGTAGAACTTCGCATGTCAACATTGTTAGACTTTTGGGATTCTGTTTGGATGGTTCTAAAAAGGCACTAATATATGAATTCATGTCTAATGGATCTCTTGAGAAGTTCATATATGAGGAGAAAAATCCATTGAAGGATGATCACCAATTGGATTGCAAAATACTTTATGATATTGCAGTTGGCGTTGCTCGAGGACTAGAGTACTTGCATAGAGGTTGCAACACTAGAATCTTACATTTCGACATAAAACCTCATAATATATTACTTGATGAGGATCTCTGTCCGAAAATTTCAGATTTTGGACTTGCTAAAATATGTCTAAAAAATGAAAGCATTGTATCTATATTTGGTGCAAGGGGAACACCAGGATATATTGCTCCAGAGTTGTTCTCCAGAAATTTTGGTGGGGTGTCACATAAATCAGATGTCTATAGTTATGGAATGATGGTTTTAGAAATGGTTAGTCAAAGAAAGAACATTAAAGTTGAAGTGGATTGTTCTAGTGAGTTATATTTTCCACACTGGATTTATAAACGTCTTGAATTGAATCAGGATCTTGTACTTAAGTGTGTTAAAAATGAAATTGATGAAGAAATAGTAAGAAAAATGACAATGGTGAGTTTATGGTGCATACAAACTGACCCTTCAAATCGACCATCAATGCGTAAAGTGGTGGAAATGTTGGAAGGGAGCCTCCAAGTGCTAGAGATACCGCCCAAACCCTTTTTGTCTTCTCCTACAACATCTTCGATCCAAATATCATCTGAAATATTGTAATTTGTGTAGACATTAAGATGTAAAGTAGAGTGTGTGGATAATAAGTTGTAATGTTGTATCGTTTCTTTTGGCTTATGTTTTAAGAGTAGACTTCCATATGAACAAGAGAGTATTGAGATACTCAACATTTTCTTATATGTTTTTCTCCTCGTATTTAAAAATAGAATGAAAACTTTATATTAGATCTGCAATGGTTGTCCCGAACCGCTAAATACATTCAAAAATTGCTTTCAAAAGCTATTATACTTCCTCTCGTTGAGATTATTAAGCTTCCTGATTTATACATTACTTCTAACTATGATCCTCTTTGTTGCATTCTATATATTAATGTACATTACTTCTCAAATTCATGTATTTTGTTGTTTCCAATTTATGCAGATTACCTTCGGTGCTACCGGTGATAAGTCCATTGCTTCACAGTACGAATGATATTCTCAACCGTGTCGTTAGTGTCCGAAGATAGCTCAGGGTGACAAACCTCCTTTCTTGTGTGGAGTTAGTGTTGTAATTGGTTTGAAATATAGAATCGTCACCCTTAATTTTTATCCTAAGAAAGAGAATATAAAGGTTAATCCTAAAAAGTTAGTGATTATAGGTTGTTGACTCGGTTCTAGACGAAGGAAAGGTGTTAGGCACCCCATCTACCTTGTTCTCAAAGATACTAGGGTTTAAAAGCGCAATCTTTAGAGAAATAGGGTTTTAATTTTTATTAGGGAAACTCGTCACGATTTTAGTCGTATGCCTACGTATCATCTTATGAGGAATCAAAGTCTCAATTCGTAATTCGCAGTGTTTGGTTGGTGTTTTTTAGAGGATTGCGTAGAATTGCTTTCGAATTATCCTCGAACCTTGTCTGGATTGTAAGTTGAGTGATCGTAGACGCAGTTCGCGGTTAATTTTGAAAGAAATTCTCCTTAATCCTTTTTTCGAAAATATCTTATAGTTTTTGTTATGTTAGTAAAAAAAATGGTTTGATGTTGGTTAGCTATATTAAAATGTAGAGCGAGAAGAGTCTGATATAGTTTCTTCATCATGTGGTCAGATGTTGACCACGTGTCATTCGCGGATGATGAATTCAGTGAGTTAGGTGGATTTTAATATCTTTACAAAAAGTTGAATTAATTAATAATTGTGAAAATAAGTGTGATTTCATATTTAGAAATTTAAACAAAAATGTCTTAATTAAAAAGACTAATTCCAAAAAAAATATTTACAAGTTAATGGGTTATTTAAAGATTAATCATACGTTATATACGAATTAATTTATTTGACTAATCTAGTAGTTAATCTAATTAACTAAATAAAAATTTTACTAATTAAAATAAATGGGGTGCTAAAAGATAAGTGAAGAATGGATAGAATTCAATTGGATCCAAAGCCCGCAAACAAATTAACCCTAATTTAAATCATCATAGTTAAAACAAACAAAAAAAACAAATGGAAATAACAGTACCAAGTGCACCTCCCCTTTTAAGCTATCAGTCCCTGTTTCACAAATCTACCAGATCCTTTGACAACATTCCAACACAAGATTCGCTCTTTGCTTCTATATCCTACTTTCTTATCCTTGCTCTTCATTACTCATAACCAAAAAATAAAAATACAGAGCAAAACAAAGCAGTAATAGAAAGAGAGGAAGAAGAAATCGCAGAGAGTGAAAGGGATAAACAACCTCCATGGATTCGGGGGTAGCGGCTGATTTAGACGGATCCCAGCGGATGGGAGCAGTGGCTGTTGATCGCGGGTCTGAACAGATTCAAGGAGGGGCAGTCGCGATAATAGCGGTGTCGCGGTTCGACTTTCGATCGCGACAATGTTTCCTCTCTTCTGCTTCAGCTTGTATCCCAATCTTTTTCTTCTGATTTTTGTGATTGCACGTCTGTTCTTCTACTTCTGCAAAATAATTGTGTACAAGAATATTGTTGTTGTTGAATTTTCTGGCCTGCATTGTTATGTGGTTTAAGTGAGATAGAGGTGGAGGACCTTTGTGGTTAATGGTTTATGAACAAGAACACAACGGATTTTCAAAAAAAACAATTTCCAAAATTTCTTCATGAAAAGCATGACTATCGTTACTGTTATGAAGCAAAATAATACGTAGTTAGTAATTAGTTTCCTACTTTCCTGCCAAGTAACATTAGTGGAATAGGTCACTAATTAGTTTCCTACTTTCATGCCAGTAACTTTAGTGGAATAGGTATTGATTGTTAGTTCCACTCCTTATTATTAGCATTCAGTTTTTCAATTCTTTGCTGTATATATTCGTGTAATTGTTTACCACATTAACACAGAATCATCAATTCAAATCCCTTCTCTACATGGTATCCAGAGCTTTAGGTTGAATTAATTTTTTTTTCAAACCACATTCACTCCCATGGCTGGCAATATCTCCCACCTACTGGCCCTAGCCAATTCATTATCTTCCCAGATCAATTTTCAACTTCCTCCAATCAAAATCACTCTTGACAATGAAAATCACTGCCTTTGGAAAACCACTATCATCTCTGCTCTCGAAACCTTTGATCTTGAGTCTCATTTACTGGCACCAAATCCACCGCCACAGACTCGCTCCATTGCTGCTGACAATGGAACAATCACCCAAGAACCCAACCCTGAATATCTCGCCTGGAAGCGTCGCGATAGGTTGGTTCTGCTGTGGCTAAAATCAACTCTCTCCGACAGGGCGCTCGCCATCGTTGCTCGTAGCACCACCTCCCACATGGCCTGGACAGCACTCGAGAAAATTTTCCAGGCGCAGACTCGTGCTCGGCGGATGTCGCTAAAATTGCAATTACAATCCCTACCTAAGGGGTCTCTCTCTATCATGGAGTACGTCGAGCGAAAACGCTCAATTGCTGACTCCCTCGCTGCAAACCTGCACCCTGTTTCTGATGAGGACCTAATCGGTCACATCCTCTCTGGGCTAGATAGCTCTTACGGCGCCTTTGCCACTGCATTCATGATCCACAGTGATGATGCTTCTGTTGACGATCTGGTGGGCAAATTGCTTCAGGAGGAAGCACGACTCGCTCACGAACTGGCTCGCCAATCCACCATCGCTCCCTTGGCTCCTTCACCTCCAGCACCAATCTCTTCTGCCCACGTCGCCAGTCGGCAATCTGGCCGGTCATACAATACCAACAATTCTGGTGGCGCCTGTAGTTGTTTAGTTATTGGCTTGCATTTTTGGTAAAACCCAAGTGTGTATGTGTGAATGTCATGACTGATGTCATAACATTCTAGTTTAGTTTGTACTGATTCATTAGGTACCTTTGCAGAAAAATATTGTCATTCAGGTACTGATGTTTATAAGTGTGTATCTGAGCATTTTGCAAAATGATCACATTTTGCTAAATCAGTAGACAGGTTTTCTCATAACAGATGTTAAGATATCCTGTTCTGAACTAACAGGTATGCAGGTTGGTTAATTCTGAGTTTTTTCAGGAAAATAACTTAGTCTTTCCAGAACAGAATCCTGCGTTTTCTTTGGGTTATCCTAGCTCAACCCTAACCTGGTTAAAAGAGTCTTGTGACCTAGTCTTAAGGTCAAACGGAATTAACCCTAGGTTTTTGTGGAAACCCTAACTGAAGTTGCAGCTGCTATATATTCAACAGAGCTGCTGTTTTGCAAGTAATCCCTTGGTGATCAGAAGATCATTTGTAAATTGTATAGGTTTGATTATTGTACTCCAAGCAATTATCATTGTGATAAGTGACTTGGAATAGGTTTTTAATTGTAAGGGTTGTGTAGCACTCAAAGCTTTGAAGCAAGAGTGTTTGAATGTTTCTTGACTAAAGCTGTGAAGCAGAGTCAAGTTAGTTGTGTGCATCACTCAAAGCTGTGAAGCAAGAGTGGTTGTGTTGCTTGATTAAAAAGCTGTGAAGCTTAATCAAGTGTATGTTTTTGAAGAGTGTCTTCATCAATTCATTAGTCAAATTGTTTTATGTATCACTGCTGTGATTGAGGGGGAGTGAGTAGGAACTCAGGTTTAAGTTGTACTTAGATTGAAATTGCATTGGGTAGGTCTTAAGTGAAGGAGATAAACTGGTTGGTTTATTCCTGAATTAACATCTCTTATAGTGGATTTCCTCCCTGGCTTGGTAGCCCCCAGAGTAGGTGTTGTTGCACACTGAACTGGGTAAACAATTGACTGTGTTCTTTACTGTTTTTGTATTTACTGTCTTATAGAAAGTCAGATACGGTGTCATAACATTAAACGTGACATTGAGTATCTGTAGCCAGAATTTCAATTGGCATCAGAGCAGGCACCCTGCCTGTATTACTGGGTGAGATCTAGGGATATCACTTTCTGGCACTATAGACAAAGAAGGAGTTTTTGGAAATAGACCACCCATTCTGGATGGAACTAATTATGACTACTGGAAACCTCGTATGATTGCCTTCTTAAAATCTCTGGACAAAAAGGCTTGGAGAGCTGCTGACAAAGGATGGATCCATCCCACCATAACTGAGAAAGATGGGACAATCAGTCTGAAGCCTGAGGAAGATTGGAGTAAAGAAGAAGATGAGTTAGCCCTGGGAAATTCCAAAGCTTTAAATGCCTTGTTCAATGGAATTGATAGAAACATTTTCAGACTAGTACATCAATATGAACTGGCCAAGGAAGTTTGGGACACTCTCAAAACTACTCATGAGGGCACTTCCAAAGTAAAAATGTCAAGGCTTCAGATGTTGACTACCAAGTTTGAGAATCTAAAAATGATGGAAGATGAAACCATTCATGAGTTTCACATGAACATCTTGGAGATTGCCAACACCTCAGGAGCACTGGGAGAAAAGATGTCAGAAGAAAAACTGGTGAGGAAGATTCTCAGATCCTTACCTAAAAGATTTGCAATGAAGGTAACTGCCATAGAGGAAGCCCAGGACATCAGCAAGTTGAAAGTGGATGAACTTATTGGGTCTCTTCAGACTTTTGAGATGGGGATCACTGATAATGGTGACAAGAAGAACAAAAGCATAGCACTTGTATCCAACACTGATGTTGAAAACAAGGAGGATGAAGAAGAAAATATTTCAGAAGCTATTGCCATGCTTGGAAGACAGTTCAACAAGCTCATCAAAAGAATGGATCCAAAGTCAAGGTCTAATGTTCATAACATTCCCTCTGACATTGACAGTTCCAGCAGAAGACCAAGGTCAGAAGAAAAGGGAAACCAAGGCAGAGGTATTCAATGCCATGGCTGTGAAGGATATGGACATATTCGAGCTGAATGTCCTACCTTTCTTAAGAAACAAAAGAAAGGAATGACTGTTACTTGGTCTGACTATGATTCAGAAAGATTCTGGAGAAGAATCTGCCAAACTAGTTACTGCTCTAAGTAGTGTTTGTACCTCTGAAAGTGACACTAGTGATGAAGAAGTGACATTTGAAGAACTGGCTGATACCTACAAGAAATTGTGTATCAGAAGTGCTGAAGTCTGTGTGCAGAATGAGAAACAATCAAAACTCATTATAAAGCTGGAGGCTGAAAAAAGGGCAGATCTTGAAACTATAAGTCACCTAGAAGGGGAAGTTCAATTACTGAACTCACAACTGAACCAAATGACAAAATCTGTCAAGATGTTGACCAATGGATCAGATAAATTGGAAGAGATTCTTCAAGTTGGACAAAATGTGGGAAACAAATCTGGTCTAGGATTTGTGGAAGCTAAGAAATCTGGTGCAAACAAGAAGATCAGGCATGTTAAACAATTGTCAAAGCAGATGTCTCAACACAACTCTCAACATCAGAAATACATGAATAAAAAATACCAAAGATGGAGATGTCATCATTGTGGGAGGTATGGACACATAAAGCCCTTCTGCTTCAAATTGCATGGATACCCTAATCAAAACTCAGGTGCTAAACCTAAGCCAAAAAGGGTACCACATACTCCTCATTGGAAGAAAAAGGCTACTGCCCTGATAGCCCATACTTCCCTGAGAGTGTCTGCAAAGGAAGGCTGGTACTTTGACAGTGGATGTTCCAGACACATGACTGGAATCAAAAACCTCCTCAATAATGTTAAGCCTCACACCACCAGTTTTGTGACCTTTGGAGATGGTGCTAAAGGTGAAATCAAAGGAGTTGGTAATTTAGACTGTCCTGGAGTTCCAAGTCTGAATAAAGTACTTCTGGTAAAAGGGCTGACTGCTAATCTCATTAGTATCAGTCAATTATGTGATCTAGGATTCAAGGTCAACTTCTCAAAATCTGAATGTCTAGTAATTAATGAAAAACTAGAAGTTGTAATGAGAGGAATCAGATCCAAAGATAACTGCTACTTGTGGCAGCCTGAGAACACTGATAACTCCACTATGTGTCCAATTACCAAAGAAGAAAAAGAGATGAAACTGTGGCAGCATAAGCTTGGTCCTCTTCATCTAAGAAGAATGAAAAGAGCTATTTCTATGGAAGCAGTCAGAAGAACTCCAAAACTACAGGTTGATAATGTCTGTGATGTGGCAAATAAACTTGAAGAAGGATGTGTTGTCAGAACCATAAGTTATCTTGACAAGGTTGTTGGAAATAACAAGTCTAATAAATTATGTTTCCCTGAAGAAATGAGGCTTGAAGTCTCCTCTCCTATAACTCTCCTTCAAAATGGACTGGACAAAAAGAAAATCATTCAAGAATCAACCAGAACTATGATTCATATCAAAAGAATGCCTTCCCAACTCTGTGCGGAAATAGTTGCTGCTAGGAATAACTGTTCTCAAAATATCTGGTCAAAACAGATGCTCACTGAGTATAATGTCTCACAAGATGTTGTGACATTGTGTTGTGACAATCTGAATACAATCAATATTTCCTTGAACCCTATTCAGCATAACAGGAACAAGCACATTGACTTTGTAGAGAAGAAGTCATTTAAACTGGAACATGGTATCTTTAAGCTTCAGCTGACTGATTCTTCTACCAAGGCTCGTGTTGGAAATAAACTTGAAAATTTGAGGGGCAGGTTGGGTATTTACCAACATGAGAAATTATAGCAATTAATTTTGCTTAAAACAAGGGTTGAAGGAGTTAATTTTATTAAGTCTATTTTTAGTGGGTTAATCATATGCTTTCCCAATTCTTTCAAAATCCTTAAGAAGTTGAAAAGACTCCCTTTTGCCTCCTATCTCTCTCGTCTTTGCAACCTGTTTTCTCCTCTCAATCAAAGACTTTTCTCAAATTGCTACTGTTACTCAAAGTCAATCAAAATGTCTCAGACATCGTCTTCAACCAAGGCGACTTCATCATCCTCATCATCTTCATCATCTGACCAAGACTCTAGAGCAATCACCACATGCATAGAATCTGAAGTTCTTGAGGTCACTCCTCTCAAAGAGATGGCAACTGACCCAGCCAAAGTCAAAAAGCTAAGAACTAGACATGCAGGAAGAGCTCAAGCTGCAGCCTCTGGTAATCCTTCACATCCTTCTTCTTCTGTACCAAATAGAGAAGGATCAGTTCAAGTTCATCAAGCTATTGCTAGGCTTGTTACTAGTATACTAAGCGGAAACCAACCTGTACCGGGGATTTCTGTCCCTTTAAATCAATCAGAAAGCCCAAATGTGGACGTCTCTGAGAATGTAGATGTCACTGAGAATGTTGTGACACAAAAAGACAACATTCAGAACCCTTCAGAAAAGACTGTTGATCCACCTATCATTGATGTGGATGAGGATTACTCAGATAATGATCTGATTGCCAATGTAAACCCTAGCATAGCTAGGAGATTGATGAAAAGAAAGGGTAATCAGAATGATAAACCTGCTGTTAAGAAATCCAAGGCTGAAGGCATGGCTGAGAAAAGTTTTCAGACAAAAGGGAAGAAGGCCAAGGTGCATACTGCTAGACAACCAATTTCAAAGAAGAGAAAAGAACCTGAATCTTCTGATTCTGATGAGGAATCAGAATTTGAGATTGATGCTGAAGAAATTCCTATCAGAAGGAAGCTCCCCTCCAGCAAAATTGCTAGAGTGCCTGAAGTCCCAACAGACAACATCTCTTTTCATCATCCTGACAATGCAAACAGATGGAAGTATGTTTGCTTAAAGAGAATAGCTTTAGAAAGAGAACTCAACAACGATGCCTTGGAGTGCAAAGACATCATGGACCTGATCAAGAATGCTGGACTGATGAAGACAGTGATAAAATTTAACAAGTGTTATGAAAATCTGGTCAAGGAGTTTGTAGTGA